TCACAATCTATAGACTCTATTCTGACTTCTGGCGCAGGATTTTCTACGGGTTTTGCTACTTGATAATGATCTTTAGAGGAATTGACAACGTACTTGATCCATCAAAAAAGTTCTATAAATGATAAAAGTTGTAGATAATATCACCCAACGATTAATGTTATTGGAGGTCCCTTTTTTAAATTCATGGGAGACGAGGAAACATTAAGTAGCAATGGATAACAAAATACTTATATTGGTCTATGCATACCCTCATGATCCCACGGATCAACCAAAAGCGAAATTATTAATCTACTTTTAAGGTAAAATTAGAGCTTACAAAATTTTTAGCTCCCTGCAATGAAAAGAGTTTCTAGACACTAATTGAAAAGGATAACCTTTTTATATAATACATCCAAATAATCGTATATTAAGAAAACCGATCTAACAGCAAACTACTCCAATGTGACCAACATTAATATTTTAAAGATAACTGAATACCCAGGCATGTAGTTGTAGATTCCATTGACTACAGGAACTGTGGGTACTCCTAATCATGGTGGCGACTACTCCATTACTTGCTGGAAATAAAAGTACTCCAATTTGGGAGTTAGGCATGCCAATGATCTACCTCAGGGTCCAAATCAAAGACCAACCTATATGCAGTTCATTCTTATCCGAACAAAAGAGTTGCAGAGGAATATCATTAACAACAAAGGCAGCTTTAAATAGAATGCTGTAATTACAAGTACAGGTGGATAAACTGAGTTCTAGGAGAATACCAAACTGGCATGGGCATCCCGTTTGTTCACACACGTTTATTCATCATGTCTGATTATATAAAGAGCAGAGTGCTTCGAAACATGAATGAGGCCAAGACCGGACAGGCAGGTATAGCAACATCAGCTCTTGTTATCGGGTTTCTGTGAAGAAAGCATCAGATGTCATTTGATGAAAGAGGGAAAAGACTAATGAAGGACACTCAGCATGAAAAATATGTTTTGCAAACAGAGGATCATTGTTTACTCTGTAACAGGAAGAAAAAGCAAGTAGTATAAATTGCCATTATGAATCTTATGTTTTTGTAACATAAGCCGCAAATTTATGCAAAAATCCAAGATGGCATAAGGAATATGTTATTCATTAGCAAAAATACTAACTACTGGAACATACAAAAGTTGAAACAACAATCTGTCCATACGTATTGCATGGTGAAAATTTATCTGAATGATTTCCTTTTCAATAAAGCTTTTCCAATGTGTCAAAAGGCGAGGTAATGGGCATAAAGAGTAAATTAACAGCATAAACAACAATAGTCATACTACACAATAATCAGAAAAGATAATTGTATAAACAAGGACACATAACCAGTGAATGAGACTAATAGCAATGCGGGATCTGGAGAGGGTCAATGTACACAGCCTTACTTTTAAATATTTAAAGATGATATTTTCATAACTCAAACCCTGATCTCGCAGGTTACAAGGGAGCAACCTTACCATTGTACCAAGGCCCACCCTCTAGAAAAAACAATTGTCTCAACTTTATAATATTGCATTCACACATTTAAATAATAATTAAGCATATAATCATACCAAAACATCTAGAAATAGCTCCTTTATACTTGTCTTATATGAATCAGTAATGCATATCCCAAAGCACTGTATCTGGTATGCAAGTTTTTCTTTTTTTATTTACTTTTATAATCTTTTTTCCACAACCAGCTCAACAAAATCCATTATAAAGCTCCTATATTACTTTTCATTATATCTCTTTTTCCACCAGCAGCTCTACAAAATCCACAATAGATCTCCCTTGCTACTACTATTTTCATCTCTTCCACCATTAGCTATACAAGATGCACTATAGATCTCCTTTGTTACTGTATGTTTCGAGGCTTAAAGTTCACAACCCAATCTTCATACCAAATTAACTTTTTCAAATATATCAGACTATAACCTTTACTTTATCATTTTGCCCACTATCATCCATCAGAAAGAAAAGGGGCATAGCATACCACAATAGAAGGCTGAGCAATGGATAACAACACGTACCCTCGCTGTACCAGTTGTAATTTTAGAAAACATAATTCCTTTGATATAACGAACATGTGCATTTTTAGGCTTTACAAATTGAAGTTTGGATATTTAAAACCATAATAAGCAAATAAGCACCCCACGCCTGAAACAATTTTCTCATGTTTTCTAATTCTGTTCATCAATGGATTAGCTACTTATAACTTGGAACAAATGATCATGCCATGCCCAAAAAGAGAGGGTGCAAAGATGAACAGAAAATATACTTAAAAGCATTTCCAAACCCATTTATCAGGCATGTTACAGATTCAGCAAAGGTTAGAAAATCAATTTCTTAACTTCTCTCCCAAAGGAACAGATGAGTGTCAAAACTTTGTGACTTTATTGTCTGCCAATGTTAAAATAATATTCCAAGCGCACTAAAGCATCATCACTGCTCATTCTAGCACCACCCTATTGCTTAGAATGGCCAAGGTATGGCCAGCAATTAAAAATAAAATCAATGACTTATGCCAAGCATGTTATAGCTCAGATGTAAGGTATCTCATCACTAAAAACTGATGTTACTAAGAGGATGATCGCAAACATGGAACTTAAATCTCCAGTTACTAGTAATAAGAGGAACATACAGACCACAAATAAAATGTGCCCTCCCAAGTACACCTAAATCATCGAAGTAATGGCAGTCCGAAACTCTAAATCAAAGAAGTAATGTCAGTCCATATCTCTAATTGCAGGAGAGGCAATAACTTAGGACAACCATAGCATATATAGTTCAAAAGCAAAGTACCTTATGGCCTAAAAAAAGCTATAGATCTAAAAGTGCCCAATCCAACACTTACAGAGCAAATAGTAGCAGTATAAATTGATTGTGGTTCTTAAAGTTATCAGATCAAGTTATCTAAAAGTATTCGCCTCATATAAGTTAGCGAATGTGTTTCTACCATCCATGGCTGTCGAAAAGGAGGAAAAGGAAATTATTCTAGCAGGCAAGTAACAACTGTGGTCATCTAACACCTACTAGGAGTTCAACTTTCAAACTTACAACCATTTTCCCAAGCTCTGAAAAGTTCCAATAATATTCAGATGAATTTTGATAAGTAATGTTGCTTGTCACACATTCGCTAACTTATTCATTGTCGCATCTTGCAAAATTAATGAAATCTAAGAATGCAACAGAATATGAAGTAAAAAACACCATAGATGGAGGTTGAGATTTCTATAGTTCTTGGTAGATTTGGAGAAGACAGCGTCTCTCTAATTTGAATAGTCAGATCATGATTGAACCTTCTATTTAAATGTTCCCTAACCACCAAGAGAGATTCATATTAAGTCTACAATCACAACATCCCCTTTGTTGATTTATCTAACAAATCTAAATGTTTTCTATCTAACAAAATGAGCATCTAAACAAGTTAAACCATTATAATGAACGGTGAGAACAAGAAATAGCCACATAAAGATCTCAAGCCCAATACCCCTCTTCACGATCAGAATGAACACCACTGTACCTTCTCGGCCTCAGCCTTCTCTTTCTCCTGCTGCTTCTTCAGTTTCTCCAGCCTCTCCTTCTCCATTTTCTACTCACGGATCAACACATCCAAACCCTCAAAACGATCAAAAACCACGCCGATCGATGGGATTACAAACGGGAGAAGAAAGGGTTTGGATATGGACCTGGATGTAGATGGTCTCGGCGGCCCTCTCCTCCTCGCTTAGAACCCTACCCTTCCCGTCGCTAAAGAAGCGCGAGCTCCTCGGGGCGGCGACCTCCTTCGCCACCGCCACAGACGATCGGGCGAGGCAAGGAATCACTCGGAGCGCCGACCTCATCGCCATCATCTCTGATTCACTACACTCACCGCTTCCAATTTAATAGGAGACTCGATCGAAGCGAGCGTGAAGAACCGTGAAAGAAGTCTATTAAAATGAGTGCTTTTACATAATTATTCTTTTCATTCTTTTGAATTACGCATATACCATTAATAATAATAGTATAACAAATTAACATTTATGAATAAGACTCAATTTTAAATGATAAATATCTAATATTTTATAGGTTTTCAATTATCCCAGACATCTCTATTGTCAAAGTCAAATGATAATTAATTGAAATTAATTATAAGAGTGCGCAAGAGATATATATATATATATATATATATATATATATATAGAAAGAAATAGATAAATCACTAATTATATATATGTAATTTTGCCTTGGAATTATTGATTTGGTGGGGAAGGAATCGATGCTTAAAGATTGCTTCGGCCGACTGCTTGATGGATTCATAACGGGTTGGGTTCGATTCGGGTTGACCAACCCATGTATGATTTCATTTATTTCATTTGTCAAAAATAACAAAAAAAATATAAGTTTATTACACGTATATATGTCTAAATATATGATCTGACCCAACAAAAAATGTTTAATTTGGTGCCAAGCGCCATTAAAATTGGGTTGTTTGTCATTGCCAAATATCTTACACTATGATTAGTGAGCACAAAGGAATAAAACAAGCTGGGAGGAATTAATTGATATGTTAATTAACATCAGGAAAAACTTGATATAAGTGGAAAGTATTATTAAATATTTAAAATTGATTTAAAATATAAATTTGAAAAATCTGAAAGATTAATTGTTAGAATTAACTACTTCTTTCCGTACCCGTCCACAGTCAACCCCCTACCATCCAGGGCTTGTCAGAGGATTTAGAGGTGGGGCCGCATGTGGGTCCCCCTGTTAACCAATTGCACGGCAGAGTTTCGGCCGGTAACACGTGCGCTGGTAGCGAAAGTATTCGGCTTCAATCGACGGCTGATCCACCGCACAACACGTGCCTAGGCAGATCGACCACGGATTCTCACCGTTGATTGCCGATCCAGAGGATCGTATCCGTCCATTTGTAGTGACGCGGCAGCGTTCCTTCCCTTCCCGCCCAGCAGCGGGGCAAGAAAGAGTTCACATGGTCTTCCGCCCGCATAAAAGACCCCACCATGCGGCTCGAAGACAACGGCTTCGAGCTCCATCCTCTGCGCCTTCCCCGCCCTCAAATCCCTCCCTTCCTCCTCTATGACGTAGTCGTAGAGTTAGTAATTTGAATCCTTCTCCTCTTTCTCTCTTCCCTTTCCCCTAACGAGCTTCACGAATCCGATCCCAAGCGAAGCAATGGGGAACTGCGCTCCCAAGCCCAAGCCCCGATCCCGCCCCGCGCAGCATTCGTCGTCGCTGTTGACGCCCGACTTCCCGGCCGTGCGGCTTTACGGTCCGGAGTCGTGCCCGATCTCCTCCTGCCTCCGCCTTGCTCTCCTGTACAAGTCTGTCCCCTTCCAGTTCGTCCCACGGAGCCCCCTCCTCGGCCTCCCCTTCCTCCAGTGTGGCGCCGACACGGTCGTCGGGGCCGCCGACTCGCTGCTCCGGGAGCTGGACTCCAGGTTCCCTCGCCCGCCGACGACCGCTACGGCGCTGGCGGACATGACGTCGGCGGCTGAGGAGGTGGCGCTGGTGACGGCGCTGCAGCATCGGAGCGTGGAGCGGCACGTGGAGGAGCTGGCGCGGTGGGCCACGGAGATGGCTTCCGGCGGGGGCGGGAGGAAGGGGGAGGCGGCGAGAATGGAGCGGAGCTACGGGCAGCTGGCGGAGGTGGTGCTCGAGCACGCACAGATGGAGGAGCGCCTCCTCTTCCCCGCCTTCGAGTCCGCGGCCGATCGAGGTACACCATCGTCCCCTGTCCGTAATCCTAAGATAATTGGCTGAAAAATCATCTTTTTTGGAATTGGATTCTGCGCAAATCGATTAACCTAATCTTAATAGCGATCACAATGGAAAAGATTGGGATAAAATCAAAGGAATCATTACAGGAGTGTGCAAAGTGGCGAACGAAGAGCACGCGAGGGACCTGCCCATCATCAACGGGATAAAGGAGGACATCAAATCCATGGTGGTGATGGAGGCCGGAACACCCTTCCATCAGGAGGCATTGCTCAATCTGTCCCTGAGATTGAAAACCTTAGAGGTACTCATGTTCATAATTGCTTGCTCCCATCATAACAGACCCAACAAATAAGAGAAAGGGATAAAAATGCCTGCTTTATGATGGAAGCCAATGAACATTTCTCGAGTGTAGTTCAAGACAAGCTTCGTTGAGGTGTCCTTTAGTTTCCTTGGACTGAAAGTTTGACCATGTGTTGGACCTCATGATTAGTACATATTGACCAAAGTAGAGCACTATTTAGTTAATCTACTGACATTAATTTCATGTGCTAGGAGCATTTCAAGGGGCACTTCCAGGAGGAAGAGAAGAACATGTTGCCGCTGCTGGAGATGGCGATGAGAAGCCAAAGAGAGGAAGGGGAAGACGAATCCTCATCGCGGTCATGGATGGAGCAAGTGTTGGTGCTTATGGAGGCCACCCACTCCCCCCGCCTCTTCCCCTTCTTCATGGCCGGGCTACTCCCCGAAGAGGCCATGCAATACGTGGGACTTGTCTGCCGGCAAACTGCCGACCAGCAACGCCTGGCTTCGATGCTCCGATCACTGATCACCGTCCTCGAAACAAAACAGAGCATTGTCGGGATCCTGCGACAGCCCACGTAACATGCTGTGTTCTCTGTTCTTTTCTGCTGCATGAAACATTTCCTAAAGGAAACAAGAAAGCAACCCCTTATTCATTCCTGCATACCATCAAATCCAATGGAGTGAAAAGTTCTAACTTTTACAGTAATAAATCAGCAGTTTCCACACTTTTGTAAGCTTCCACTTTGGAACAATGAGACTCTTGTTCTAATCAGTCTCCTCCGTTTAGACTGCCTTGTGTCAGAATCGTCTTCATGTGTTCCACCAGCTCTTGCATCTGCTTCCTCGAGTGAAGGGGCGTAGGGTAAACGAAGGCGCAGTCAAGCCGGCCATCTCGGATGGTGTCGAACACCGCAATCGATGGGCCCGCTCCATGCACCGACGCACACCAAATATAGTCTTCCACCCCGAGCTCCTGCTGCAGCTCCGATGAGTCGTAGACCACGGGCTCTTCGAACACAGAGATGAGTGCAGTCCTCTGGGAAGACGAAGGGGTCAGTTGGGGGTTATCGATGGCCTTGCACAGTAGGAAGTTGATCTCAGTGATGTCTTTTAGATGCTTCTTTTTATGGACGGCATTGGAGTAGGACTCATGGCATCTCTCGGCGACCTCCCATAGCTCTTCTCCCCCATGAACATTGTGCGTGTTGATGACGGCCGAGTGATAGGATCCTGCAACATCCCAAGAGAGTGTATAACAAGAATCACTAGCAAATGCATCGACTTAACTGCAACTCAGATGCTCACCAATACTGTGATCATGTAGAACAGGATCAAGATACTTGCGGCAGTCTATGAGGGTCACAACCGTGTAGGTCTCGGCCCGATCCTTCTCGAGATGTTTTGATGAATTTGTAGCGACCAGTGCTGCAGCCGACATGGCTCCACACAGTTTAATTTCCCTTGCCTTGCATGCCTGTCACTTGAAACTTAGAACATTGATCTGAATAAAGCAATTAGCAAACACATTTATCCCTTCATTGATTGATGACTAGTATGTCATTAATGAATATTTTAGATTAAAAAAAATATATAGTATAAGATCATAAACAATCAATTTTTAATACAAATATCACAATATAGGCCACATGATCGAAATCATCCTAAACTACAACCACAAAAACAATTAATCTTATTTATTGTCATATTCTAATTTGACGAAAAAATATACATTTATTTGTAAGATGAGGGACAAAACCCCAAATCTCCTGCCAATGAGAGATTTATTTTTAACTTTTTTATTACATTAAATAGCATACATGGCACTCACATCGGATTTGAAACTAAGATTTATCACTTGTTTGCACTAATCTCAACGGAGAAATATAAGAAGGATGGTTTTTTAATGGAAGTACTACTCTCGGATCAAATCCAAATAAAAAAAGACACGCAACAAAAATAAAAATTAAAAGACAAAAAGGAAAAACATACGCTTCTCATCATCTGCACAGGTTGTTGTTAGTAATAACGCAGCACTCAAATTATGAAGATGATAAGTTTCTTGAGGTGCATATTATCTTGATTGTCTACATCACTATTTCCTCGATCTCATCTTCTCTTGTCTTAGTCTATCATCCCACGCATCAAATAAACGTGTAGAAAAGTTGCATTCTGATGAGAGTAGAGAAGCCGATTTAATGATCAATAGAACACACAAAACAGGCAAAATTGCATATAAAGTCTGTGATTCTTATTATTACTCGTTTAATTTTAATATATATATATATAATACAAGACTCAAAGACTTATATGTCATTGCAGTTTATTTTCATTAATTTGACTATTAGTATAATGATATTGGGCTCCAAATTATGGGAACAAAAATTTAGATATTTATTTTGACACTAACAGAAGTGCATATATGAAAATTTTTAATATTTAAAGAGATATATTATATATGCAAAATGTAAAACAATGTATACTATAATAGTCCAAAGTATAGTAGTATTATATTCGTGTATTATGCTAATCCGACGTATTAGAAGAAAGAGGGAAAAGAAAGCAAAGGCACTCACATTGAGAAGCTTCTGGGTGTCGTCCACGCCCAACACTAACCTCACCACCTCCGATCGCCGGTCCGAACCGGCGTCCTCGAACCGGAGGGTCGACGTCCGCAGACCGTTCAAGGAGTAGCCGACCAAATCCTTCCCCCGCGCCCAAAACGGCTTCCATGCGTCCTGCTTCGGTATCAAATCCTCCATCGCCCGGTGAAACCCCTCTTCCTCCTCCTCCTTCGTGCTGCCGGCTATCAGACGCAGGAGCTCCTTGAGGATCGCCGCGGCCGAGGTTCGATCGCAGGCCGCGGAGTGGAACCGGAGCGCGACGACGGTCCGGCCCGCCTCGGGCATGTCGTCGTAGGCCGTCGCAAAGAGGATCGGGTGGGACGGGGCCGGCGATGACCAGGGGTTCTCGTTCAGCTCGTGCTCCAATAGGGCGTGGAAGTGGGACGGGGACGCCGGCGGCGACTGGAGGATGTCGGAGGCGGAGAGGGGGCGGACGGTGAGGGATGGGGAGTGGGCGATGGAGAAGAAGGGCTGGTCGGGGCCAGCGGTGTTGAGGCGGGAACGGAGGAGAGGGTGGGAGGTCTGGAGGCGGTGGAGGGCGGACTCAAGGAGTGGGCGGGGGACGGGGCGGGAGAGGAAGAAGCCGAGGACGAGGACGCCGGTCCCGCCCGGCACGCTGCGGCACCAGCTGTGCTCGGTTCCGCCAACACGGCGGCCTGCGGCGGTTGGGTCGGCCATTCGCGAAGAGATTGGAGAGAAGAGGAGGCGTCAATGGTCGACCTTGGCGTCTCACGTTTAAATGTCGTTTTGGAATATTTCTTATGTGAATTTCCGGAAAAATGAAATTTTAATTTTTTTTCTAAAAATTGTCATATTTTCACTAACAATTTTTTTATTTAATATCTAAAATAATCCCAATTACCTACTCTTAAAAAATATTGATATATATAAATGAGATTGAAGGATAAATTTAAACTGAAAATATCATATTTATCAAACTAAATTAGACTCAATTAAAGTTATTATAACATTAAAATTATATTGGTAAAAGATTAAAAATTTTAAAATAAGACCTAATGGAATTGAACCTTAAACCTCAAAGCAATCTCTTTAAGCACCTCCAATATATTTTGGTCTTATTATCCTTACCCACTTAATAACCACAATTCCTTTCTTTCCTTCTTTATCTATTCTTTTATCTTTTCACCATGTTTTCATTGAAGCCAATGAACCCAAGCTCTAAAAACAAAGGTAAGAAAACATCACTCTTTCATTGTTTATATCTTAGTTTCAGTTTAGCATATTATATATTGATTTTTTTTTTAACTATTTTTGAGTAATCTATACTTCGAATTAATCTTTAAAATTTAACTATATTTTGTCTCCATTTCTTATGGTTCTAAAGCCTTTAGAAATTTTAACCAGAGATTAGTGTATAAAGTTATTGATGTCAGATACTCAAAATCTCTTATTTTGTAAGAAAAAATTCTATTCAATATGAATTAACCTCGTTTAAGATATCATCTTGCACACCAAAATATTAAGTTTATATACTAATATAGTCTCAATCCAATTTCAACGGAACATAATAGGAGTTGATAGTTGAATTGAGAGGGTACTTTAGCCTCTTGATGATTCTGTTTTGAGCTAAAATCTAGTATATGCTTATTTTTTTATATCTCATAAGTTCATGTAAAATTTTATTATAACCTAAGATGGTTTGATCAGTCATAATAATAATAAAAATTACTTGTTATAATTATTTGATCGGTTGATTGATAACAATTATTGTCATGGATTATAAGTTCGATTATTGATAAATTGGTGATAAAATTTAGATGAATTTATAGGTCATGAATAGCCTAATCGAGACAAAATTCTATCAAAGTTTTTGCTATAAATTATTATTTATATTGGGAGTTACGAGTGAACTAAAACGTAACATTTTAATTTTAGTATAACATGATTGTATGCTCCAATTTAATATGTTTATAACTCTCTAGCACACCTAATTATTGAGGACCATGACTTATTATTATTATTATTATTATTATATATATATATATATATATAATGTGACGATGTGGAAATATACGTATATACTATGATATGTGATATGAAGAATAATGAATATGCTATGATTTTCTATCATATGTGCTTTGACCTAAAAGAGATAATAGGAATATGAGTCATCTGTTTTGTTCATGTGAGTGTAGAAGTGCATATATCTATATATCTATGATAAAAGTAGGAAAGTTCATTAATATACTATAATTTTATATAGCATATATTTTTGCACACGTGCCTTATGATCAAAACATAATTTTCTCTTTTTATTGGTAATTATTATAAAATATTTATGTATTGATATATATGAGATGCAATATGGGAGAACACATATATATTTGATAATACATGATATGGGAAATCATCTGCATATTATGATTCTACATTACAAATGTTACGATATATTATAACTTATATTGAATTAGAGTTTTACCTTTTGATTATGCAACTTATATGGTAGGAGGTTGCTCAGGTGACTATAAGACGACGAGTTTGTAACGAAACATTTAATGCATTTGATTTGAAAAAAATCATATATCTTGTTTTGTTTTATCCATCTATTTGATGGGTAAGTAGAGACAACAAATTATGGGCACCCTATTTTTAATATAAATTTGAGTAGAAAATATATATGTCGTTTGAGAGTATATGTTTATAATATATGTAAAGGGGTCAAACACCAATTTGTATAGAGCAAACTTTATCATTTTGTTTATCAAATCAATATGTTTTAAATTTATCTATTTTTTATTATATTATAATTGACAACTTAAGTAAAAATAAAATGGTGATATCATATTTGAATCAAGCACTTAGAATATGAATAAAAGTAGAAATAAGGTGTCAAGAAATACTATTAAATTTTTTTTAAATGTGGCAACTTCATGGGGAAAATTCTAAAAAAGAAATTTTTTAGGTGTCTATTATTTTAATTTTCTCTAAACATTATTAGAGTTCACTAACTTCTATGATCAAATCAAGAATGTAACTAAGTATGAATTTGGTTGATTGTTTGATGTACTTGTAATATGTATATCATATTCACACGTTTATCTTTTGGTGAGTTTTGGTTGTCTTCTATGGGCTGCATATTATTCGCATGGGTTCAATGAATCGCTCATTCCACTGTACTCATATTATTTTGCGTACAGTTTCCAATGGATTGACTCGACAAGAAATGGGTTTCCACGTTTCCATTGTGCGATTGTGTGCTCGATGGGTCCTCTCAACACTAAACTTCCACACTTAGCGAAAGGAATGACCACATCATCATTGCCATCACGAATCTATTCAATTGTAATTTGACAACGAGTTTGTACTTTATAATGCGTCCCAACTAAAATAAAATCGACTTTAGTTTCATTACATTTTAGCTTTATATAATATTTCACATTAGTATTTTTTTTTTGTCTTTAAAATATTATATTGATCGATGTATAAGACGTTCATATGAAATTTATTACTTGTACGATAATATACTAACTTAATGAATTGATATATATGATAATTGGAATGATGTGAACAATTTACCTTGCAACCCATCACTAGATATCATATTTAAAATTATTTAGAATATTAAACATTCATACTAAATCTAATATTAGCACATGCATCATCGTTAAAATAAAAATTAATATACCGTATATTTATCGATAATATAGTGTTATAAACTTTGATGATTTTGCATGAGTCTTAAGGTCAGTTTGTAGATAAAATATGATAGTAAAAAGTAAACGTGTAGATAAATATTATTATCATTCTGTCACTCGGTCGATAATTGTCGATAATTATTAGATCTAATCGGATGTAGGAGAAACAAAAACTCTATAATAAAAGAGATAATTACAAATGTCTTAGGAAAATGTAAGTCATAAAACACCTGAAACTACTAAACAAAAAAAGTTCAAACTATTTTAATTAAATGTGGACTTAATAGAAATTAAATTATTTGTCGAGATGTATTTGATTTTCTCGACCATTATTTATAGTTATAATAGGAGATAATAAATTTGAATTTTTCCGACGTGGGATTAATTTCGACTTACCAAACTAACAATAATAATGAATGAATACTTTTAATCTACAATTCAAATAAGATTATAGAAACACTGACATTTTATGATAAATTATTGCACACTCTTTGTTGTTTGATCTAAAAAATAAGTGAATTGTTGGTTGAAACTATAATTTACATTAAAACCTCTAGCAATGATCTGATTTACACGAAGACCTCTTAAAATCTTATTATGATGTTAAAAATACTAGACATATCATACACATTCATGGTCTTTCTAATATCCTTCCTTCCTGACTCAAACAAATTAATATCAACTATGGTTAGAAGTTATGTTTTTTGGGATTTCTGAATAATTGTTAATGCCAGTGACACGTGGAGGATCATAATATTTTAATTTATATATTTATAATCATATATATATATATATATATATATAATGATTTGAAATGAAAAGTATATAAACTAAATATAAGTTGATACTATAAGTATTTCACACCATTCGTATAACGACATAATAATATATTTAATTATCAATCATATCCTTATTTTCTATAGCTCTCAGAAATATAATATATTTTTTGAGAAAGGATTATACATTCAAAACTATTATAGAAAATATTCTGGCATAAACTTTAAAAATATTAAATTGATCTAAAAATATAAAAAAATAATTTTTATTTATTTTAAGATAGTCTTAATTGATCATCTGTTTTTATTTATTTATTTATTTTGCATCACCCATAATGAAAAATGCTTCAACTAAGAAAAGAAAGAAGACGAATAAGAAAAAGGGAAAGAAAAAAAAAGAGTATATTAGAATTAAATGATAAGTTAAAAGTATATAATTTTATTTATAGAAGGATATCTTACCAACATAAAAAAAATTAAAAAAATTACAAATAACAAAAATAATTATCAATAAAAATACCCTAAAAATAAATGTAACACAAGCAAGTGATCATTATGTTGTGATAGCATATATGCAATTCCGATTAGCTTTTTAATCGTCATGTATGATTAGTTTATATAACCGCAATAATCCGCTACAGAAGACTCGCTGGGCGTGTGAAAATGGCAGAGTCGCGTTTCGGAAGCGAATGTGAAAAGGCGGCAGCGGCAGCTTAGTCGTCTTCTGTCACGACTTGAGTGCCGATTTCGGTGACGACCGAAGCTTTGGCAGGGCGTCGGGGAAGCTCGCCGGGATCAAGTCGTGAGCAAAGTCGGGGCTAGACGAGCGCCTTCTCGCGGGCGACCTAACGAGCGTGCGTCGATCGGCCCACAGATGCAACTTTAATCTTCCCAATAAAAGGCCAAAAACAGAAAAGGAGGGGGAGAGCAGCCGCGGCAGGCAGCGAAAAGAGGGGAAGCGAGAGCGGAAAAGAGGAGGAGAAAAATAAGAGCGAGAGCGCGAGA